TCATTGTTTACATTGAGCATTCTCAAGATCTCAAGTAATTTGAATATAATCAAGTTCATGGTTTAGACATGTGGGGTGGTCTGCCGACCGAAATTATTCCTGTAGTCGTCTCTGCGAATGGGCTAATCCCAGTCAGCCTCTCGGGTCATCTGAGGCGACTGGGACTCCGTGACCGACCGCTCCGGGCTCAAATGCAGAAGGCGGTGCTCCTTGATACTGCCCGCATCGTCCGCCGGTTTCTTTCCTTTTCCTTTCCCCAAACCCTTGGCCGTTTCTTTTATAAGGTTAATTAGTGCTCTGCTGTACCATATTAGATAAGAATAATTACCACTACATCAGATTTTAGGAACGAATTTTTCAATTAATTCATTTATTATAGTGTAAAATTTATCAGTAACACGATCTAAACTTGTTTCCCTTGTGATAAAAGCCCAGTCTTGTTTCAAAAGTAAATCATTCATACTACGGTAGTCTGCTCGCTTAAATTGATATTTAGTCCTAAAAGAAGGCCTGCGTGAAGGTACTAAGATGTCCGTCGCAGATATGTACAGAGCTGGATGATATACATCTTCTATAACAAGCACGTGTTCATTTTTGAACTTTTATCGGGAAAGATGAAAAGATTAAGTCTAGAGTGTTCTTGCTACTGTTTAAGAGTGTATTGTATTGTATTACCATTCCGTATGACGAGAACCTCGTGAAAGCCGAAACAGAGAAACGAACAAAATATCTGGACCTGGCTCACGAGGTGACCGACATGTGGGGTGGTCTGCCGACCGAAATTATTCCTGTAGTCGTCTCTGCGAATGGGCTAATCCCAGTCAGCCTCTCGGGTCATCTGAGGCGACTGGGACTCCGTGACCGACCGCTCCGGGCTCAAATGCAGAAGGCGGTGCTCCTTGATACTGCCCGCATCGTCCGCCGGTTTCTTTCCTTTTCCCCCAAACCCTTGGCCGTTTGGTCTCCCATGCCGAGGGCTTCCATCTGGTTGGGCTTTTATTTATTTATGTATTTTTGTATTTATTTTATTTTATTAATATTTATGTATATTTATCTTCTCATTTTCATTTATAATTATATATTTATACACCCCAACCAGATGAGAAAACTATATAGATACCCCACACAATAATAATAATGAAGCCAGCCGGGACCTTTGCGAGACGGACTCAATTCTCTTTGTCGCCGCAGTGGCAGTTTGCCGTATTATTGGCGCCAAACTTCCCATGGCTGGACGCGCTACTATACAAAGTAGCGCCATCCCAGCCTGGAGAAAAAGAATCGAGGACTGTATCGCAAAGGCAAGAGCCCTTATCGGCAGACTGACAAGCTTCAGGTCGGGTAATAATAGACCGAGGATTATGCGCACCGTTAGGATGGCGTTTGCTGGGACAAATATCAGTTTGTCCCAGCCGGATATCACGCAGAAACTAACGGAGCGCATAGACGACCTGAAGCAAAAGATCGCTGCTTGGGGGAAGAGGATTCGACGATTTACCGAGAGGTCAAGGCGGTTCAACCAGAATCGTCTCTTCCAGAGTGATCAGAAGAGATTCTATAAATCATTGGAGCGGGCCAAGGACCGGATCAGGCTGACATTATCGCATTCTGGCTTGGCCTGTGGTCAGAGCCCGTAAATCACAGCGAGGGCCCTTGAATGGAAGTTGTGGCGAGCCAGGGTGCGAGTGTTACGCCTATGAACCCCATCACCACAACGCCGGAAGACGTGGCTGAGGCGGTCCGTAGGGCCCCGAACTGGAAAAGTCCGGGGCTCAACGGGCTGCATAATTACTGGCTGAAGGGGTTCATAGTGTGTCACGCTGTGCTCGCCCAACAGTTTCAAGAGGCTCTCAACCAGAAGTCGCTCCCTAGCCTCTTCACTACTGGGATCACTCATTTGGTTCCTAAAGACCAGGTTACCATAGATCCGAGCAAATACCGCCCCATTACGTGTCTACCCACCATATATAAGACACTGACATCCATTTTGAGCGCGAGAATCACTCGTCACCTGGAGCTAAATCAGGTGATGTCACGCGCTCAAAATGGATGTCGGGGCGGTGGTCGTGGAACCAAGGAACCACTCCTCATTGACGCGGTCATTGGCAAAGTGGTGAAACGCAACCGTCGGAACTTCTCCGCCGCCTGGATAGACTACAGAAAGGCATTCGACTTGGTGCCACATACATGGCTAAAGAGAGTCCTCGAGCTGTACAAGATAGACTGTACCGAGAGAGAATTTCTCGAGCAGTGTACGGGGCAGTGGAGTACGATCCTTTGTCATCTGGGTGAGCGGATGATGGCTGCGGAGAACCACATAAGGAAAAGAAGGGGTATCTTCCAGGGCGATTGTCTGAGTCCAATCTGGTTCTGCCTCTCCCTGAACCCTCTAAGTACCTTACTGGAGGGATCCGAAAGAGGATTTCAGCTACGGAAAGGAGGGACAAAAGTGACCCACCTTTTCTATATGGATGACCTCAAGTTATTCGCCTCCAGTCGCTCCCATCTTATGGAATTACTAAAAATCACTTGTGAATTTAGCAATTCCATTAGGATGGAGCTGGGGACGGATAAGTGTGCGGTCCTCCATGTTGAAAGGGGAAGGGTTGCTAACTCTGAGGGCACAGACTTATCTATGCCCGTCAACTTAAGGGCCCTTTTCGAGGCTGAAACATACCGATACCTGGGTATGTCACAGAACATCGGTATCGAAGAGGCTGGTATGAAACAGTCAGTTTGCGACGTGTTTTATGCACGCTTGACCAAAGTGCTTAATAGCCTTTTGTCCGGTGTGAATAAGAAACACGCATATAACGGTTGGGTCATACCTGTCCTTATGTATACCTTTGGCATACTCAGGTGGAGTCAGACTGAACTTAACGCCCTGGATAGAAAAGTCCGCACTACCATGACGTCCCATAGGATGCATCATCCGAGATCGTCGGTAATGAGGCTGTACTTGCCGCGAAAGCATGGTGGGCGTGGCTTCCTGAGCGCGCTCACCATGAATAATCGTGAAGTGTGCAGCCTCCGTCATTACTTTCTTGCGAGATTGGATGATCCATTCTATAATGACGTCATTTCTAGTGATAAAAGACTTACCCCTCTATCCTTAGCCAACGAGCAATGGCAGCACCCAGCAGTGCTTAGCATTTCCGACCGGGAGACCGTATGGAAGGAGAAAGAGCTCCACGGGAGGTACTACAGGGCTCTACATGAGCCCTTCGTAGATACAGTCGCCTCTCTCAACTGGCTACGTTTCGGTGACCTTTTCGGGGAAACCGAGGGTTTTGTCTGTGCAATACAGGATCAGGTTATTAAGACCAACAACTATCGGAGATACATCATAAAGGATGGCACCGTCGACGTCTGTCGAGCTTGTCGCCATCCCGGGGAGTCACTTAGGCATGTCATCTCCGGTTGTTCGGCGCTTTCTAACTCTGAGTACTTGCACAGGAACAACCTAGTAGCCAGAATTCTACACCAGGAGCTCGCTCTGAAATACGGTCTCGTGGACCGGAAATTGTCGTATTACAAGTACTTGCCGGAAGCCGTGCTCGAAAATGACCGCGCCAGGCTCTACTGGGACCGGGCCATCATCACAGACAGGACTATTCTTGCGAATAAGCCTGATATTGTGCTGATGGACCGGGCACAGTCAAGGATATTTTTGGTCGATATTACCATCCCGTATGACGAGAACCTCGTGAAAGCCGAAACGGATAAGCAATCAAAGTATCTGGACCTGGCTCACGAGGTGAACGACATGTGGGGTGGTCTGCCGACCGAAATTATTCCTGTAGTCGTCTCTGCGAATGGGCTAATCCCAGTTAGCCTCGCTGGTCATCTGAGGCGACTGGGACTCCGTGAGACCGCTCCGGGCTGCGGTGCTCCTTGATACTGTCCGCATCGTCCGCCGGTTTCTTTCCCTTTCCCCCTAACCCTTGGCCATTTGGTCTCCCCTCCTCCTGCCGAGGGCTTCCATCTGGTTGGGCTTTTATTTATTTATGTATTTTTGTATTTATTTTATTTTATTAATATTTATGTATATTTATCTTTTCATTTTCATTTATAATTATATATTTATACATCCCAACCAGATGAGAAAACTATATAGATACCCCACATAATAATGATAATAATAATAATAACAAAGGCGTAGGGAAGTGACGACCCCATCGCCCGCTGACGTAACGGTTATGTGACAAAACCGGTACGTCAGCGCAGTCAGTCAGCACCTTGCCGAGAGGTGTTAGTGCCGTGCCTCGGCAAAAATTGAAGGTGCAATGGCCCGCTTGTGCACATGGCCTCACCATGAAACGGCGCCGGGTCTGGGCGACTCCCGCTAAATGACGCCCTCCACTATGGATGATGGAATACGGAAGAACGCGCAAAGGGCCGCTGCCTGGAGGTCGCCAGGGCGCGTCTGGAGCTGGCGCTGGACGCGACAGCATGCGAACCGCCAGCCGAGCTCGAGGTGCTGCACGACCCCCAGCAGCCCCTCGCATCCATCATCCCCACCAGCTGGTTTGGTTTCGGCAGGGTCTTCGCGGGCCCAGCAATCGGCACCCGCCACTGGTGGAGTACGCCGCATGCGTTGGACAACCCAGATGAACAGCAACGCATTGCGGGCGTATTTTAGGGCGAAAGGGGGAGAAACTGGAGGTTTTGCGTATCGGGCAAGGATGCATCGACTTTTTGCTGAGCTGGGGCCATCTGTAACCGTCACCGAGCAAAACCTGGCAGACCGAGTTCGGTATATCTTGCGCTCAAATACATTTGATGTCACCGAACTCGAACGGCTACGACGTGAGGCTGTTCGTTCATCGGGTGAAAATGCTGCGGCTGAGGATGCGGCGCCACAACTTGCTGAGTAAACGGCAAATGTGGATGCCGCCGTGAATACGCCAGTTGTGGTTGATTCAAACGATGACGGAACAGTCGCCCAGGAACTGGAACTAGAGCAAATGAGGAGTACATTGGAGGAGGCGATTGTGGAAATGCGCAGTATGCTTCTCGAAAATCGACCGCGACTTCCCCGCTTAGCCCTAAGCAAGCGGAATCGGGCTGTCGTGAGGGCTCTGAACCCAATGCTGGTTACCTACTTGGAAGCCAGCCGGGACCTTTGCGAGACGGACTCAATTCTTTTAGGCGCCGCACTGGCAGTCTGCCGTATTATAGGCGCCAAACTTTCCACGGCTGGACGCGCTACTGGACAAAGTAGTGCTATCCCAGCCTGGAGAATAAGAATTGAGAACGTATCGCAAGGGCTAGGGCCCTCATCGGCAGACTGATATGCTTCAGGTCAGGCAATACAAGGCCAAGGATTGTGCGCACCGTCAGGATGGCGTTTGCTGGGACAAATGTTAGTTTGTCCCAGCCGGATATAACGCAAAAACTGACGGAGCGCATAGACGACCTGAAGCAAAGAATCGCTGCTTGGGGAAAGCGGATTCGGCGATATACCGAGAGGTCGACACGGTTCAACCAGAATCATCTCTTCCAGAGTGATCAGAAGAGGCTCTACAAATACCATTGGAGCGACCAATAGTAAGTGGAACGGGCCCAGCACCAAATCAGGCCGACACGGTCGCATTCTGGCGCAGCCTGTGGTCAGAGCCCGTAAAGCACAACGAGGGCCCTTGGACGGAAGTTGTGGTGAGTCAGTGTGCGGGTATTACGCCCATGGATCCCGTTACCATAACGCCGGATGACTTAGCTGAGGCGGTCCGTAGGGCCCCGAACTGGAAAAGTCCGGGGCTTGACGGGCTGCATCACTACTGGCTGAAGGGGTTCATGGTGTGTCACGCTGTGCTCGCCCGACAGTTTCAAGAGGCTCTCAACCAGAAGTCGCTCCCAAGCCTCTTCACTACTGGGATCATTCATTTGGTTCCTAAAGATCAGGGTGCCACAGACCCGAGCAAATACCGCCCCATCACGTGTCTACCGACTATATACAAGACACTAACACCCATTTTGAGCGCGTGAATCGCTCGTCACCTTGACTCAAATCAGGTGATGTGTCGCGCGCTCAAAATGGATGTCGGGGCGGCGGTCTCGGAATCAAGGAACCAACTCCTCATTGACGCGGTCATTGGCAAAGTGGTGAAACGCAACCGTCGGAACTTCTCCGCCGCTTGGATAGATTACAGAAAGGCATTTGACTCGGTGCCCCATACATGGCTAAAGAGGGTCCTCGAGCTGTACAAGATTGACTGTATAGTTCGAGACTTCCTCGAGCAGTGTATGGGGCAGTGGAGTACGATCCTCTGTCATCTGGGCGAGCGGATGACGGCTGCGGAAAGCCGCATAAGGATAAGAAGGGGTATATTCCAGGGCGACTGTCTGGGTCCAATCTGGTTCTGCCTCTCTTTGAACCCTCTCAGTACTTTACTAGAGGGCTCCGGAAGGGGATTTTAGCTTCGGAAGGGAGGTACAAAAGTGACCCACCTTTTCTATATGGATGACTTCAAACTATACGCCTCCAGTCGCTCCCATCTTATGGAATTGCTAAACATCACTTGTGAATTTAGCAATTCTATTGGAATGGAGCTGGGGACGGATAAGTGTGCGGTCCTCCATGTTGAAAGGGGAAGGGTTGCTAACTCTGAGGGCACAGACTTATCTATGCCCGTCAACTTAAGGGCCCTTTTCGAGGCTGAAACATACCGATACCTGGGTATGTCACAGAACATCGGTATCGATGAGGCTGGTATGAAACAGTCAGTTTGCGACGTGTTTTATGCACGCTTGACCAAAGTGCTTAACAGCCTTTTGTCCGGTGTGAATAAGACACATGCATATAACGGTTGGGTCATGCCTGTCCTCATGTATACCTTTGGCATGCTCAGGTGGAGTCAGACTGAACTTAACGCCCTTGATAGAAAAGTCCGCACTACAATGACTTCCCATAGGATGTATCATCCGAGATCGTCGGTAATGAGGCTGTACTTGCCGCGAAAGCATGGTGGGCGTGGCGTCCTGAGCGCGCTCACCATTCATAATCGCGAAGTGTGTAGCCTCCGTCATTACTTCCTGGCGAGATCGGATGATCCATTCTATAATGACGTCATTTCTAGTGATAAAGGACTTACCCCACTATCCTTAGCCAACGAGCAGTGGCAAGACCCGGCAATACATAGCATTTCCGACCGGGAGACCGTATGGAAGGAGAACGAGCTCCATGGGAGGTACTACAGGGCTTTACATGAGCCTCACGTAGATACAGTCGCCTCCCTCAACTGGCTACGTTTCAGTGACCTCTTCGTGGAAACCGAGGGTTTTGTCTGTGCAATACAGGATCAGGTTATTAAGACCAACAACTATCGGAGATACATCCTAAAGGATGGTACCGTCGACGTCTGTCGAGCTTGTCGCCATCCCGTCGAGTAACTTAGGTATGTCTTCTCCGGTTGTTCGGCGCTTTCTAACTCTGAGTACTTGCACAGGCACAACCTAGTAGCCAGAATGCTACACCAGGAGCTCGCTCTGAAATACGGTCTTGTGGATCGGAAATTGCCGTATTACAAGTACTTGCCGGAAGCCGTGCTCGAAAATGACCGCGCCAGGCTCTACTGGGACCGGGCCATCATCACAGACAGGACTATTCTTGCGAATAAGCCTGATATTGTGCTGATGGACCGGGCACAATCAAGGATATTTTTGGTCGATATTACCATTCCGTATGACGAGAACCTCGTGAAAGCCGAAACGGATAAGCAATCAAAGTATCTGGACCTGGCTCACGAGGTGAACGACATGTGGGGTGGTATGCCGACCGAAATTATTCCTGTAGTCGTCTCTGCGAATGGGCTAATCCCAGTTAGCCTCGCTGGTCATCTGAGGCGAATGGGACTCCGTGACGGACCGCTCCGGGCTCAAATGCAGAAGGCGGTGCTCCTTGATACTGTCCGCATCGTCCGCCGGTTTCTTTCCCTTTCCCCCTAACCCTCGGCCGTTTGGTCTCTCCTCCTCCTGCCGAGGGCTTCCATCTGGTTGGGCTTTTATTTATTTATGTATTTTTGTATTTATTTTATTTTATTGATATTTATGTACATTTATCTTTTCATTTTAATTTATAATTATATATTTATAGAACCCAACCAGGTTAGAAAATTATATAGATACCCCAAATAATAATAAAAAAGACGTGTGGCACCCGGGGACTGCCGCGGTAAAGCTATTGCATAGCATTTTGTATTATTATTTATTTATTTTGTTTATGCATTATTTCTTTTTCTTTGATATTAATTCAAGTTACTTAGGTTAATCCAATCAAATTCTACCATATTTAACCGAACCCGCGTTATAACGAACTCACTATTTGTGAAAAATACTGTATCACCGGACCGCTTCGCAAAAAACTCAGGTTCGCGCAGTACAAAAGTCAGGGCGGCCGTACGGCAATTACATTAACAAGACGCGCAACTACTCAGTACCACGCTCCACGGCAAGATTTTTCACTTATTATTTATTGTCCAATTAATTGTCTTTAAGTTCAAATGGCACGCTCTATTAACATAAGTCTAAGACAAAACAAGGAGACTTTCAATATATGAACAACTATATTTTTCTATCTGTTGTTTTAAACTGTTATAATATATTATAACAGTTTTAAATATTACATTGTACACGCGGTTAGTTCAGTTCAGTCGTCGGCTGTGTTCGCGTTTTGTTTAACGAAAAATAAACAAAAACAACAATAGCTTTCCTGCTTCAAAACATTACGTATATAATTTAACAGATAACAGTGTCATTGTCATCTCAGCTAGACAGCTAACTGAACTCTAAACTGATATATTATATATTACAACAGCCAAATTAAATAACAGGCACAACAGGCAACTAATGGAGGAAATAATATATTTTTGTTTACCGTTATAATTTAGTGTTAGTAAAATAAGCTCTTATTAAGTAGAGTTTAAATTAGTGTAAGCTATACGCAATCCTTGTGGCATAATGAATGTAGGTAGTATTTTATTGACTCCCATTGTCTCGGCCGACGCGACGGTTGGACCGTAAACGTAAACAGATGACGCTTTCTAACGATAATGAATATAATATTATAACAGTCAATGGTTCATTATTCTAATGTGTTGTAAGATTAAAAATATATAATGAAATATATTATCTGTTGTATGTTATAACGCCCAACTTTAGGGGTGACCGACCGCGCGCACAAATGCAGCTAGCCTCCCCCCTCTCGCACCTTACTAATCGTCGCTTCACACCGCTTGAGATAAGACGATCTACTATCAGGCGCTAACAAACCCCCGTCCCGGACATAAGGACCTATGTCCGCGAGTAAATTGGCAATTAGAAGACGCTTTGTATTGTTCGTTTTTACAAAAACGATCAACTGAGCAAATGATATCTGGCCCTTTGCTTTGTGAAAAAGCATTACAGTTAAATAAAAAATTAGGTGATCTTCATACATTCGATCATCCGGATTTTCGATTATCCGAATCCCTAACGGCAACAATTAGTCCGGTTAATCGAGTATATATATATAACATATTGAGAATCTAAATTGAGAATTTAAACTATACGCGTGTGTGTGTTTGTGTGTATATAAAGAGGGCTACTTTTAATATCGCTCATTTTAATATCAAAAATTTAGGTTATCTTTATAGCAGTATTATATTTTCAATTCAAAATTAGTACTGCATTTGTGATAATAATAAAATGTAGGTATGTATATAGAGTACTCACTCATTTTCTTTCACTATTTTTTCGTGACTTTCTTCATTAATAATAAATGCACTTTGTTCATTCATATTCAAAATTTCAAAACACTTTATACACAAACACCGTGTCGAAGACTGAGGAAAAGAAACGACGTTAGACCATCGTTAGACAATGCACGGCCTTCAAGCCACACCTCCGTGCCCGTCGGAGAGCGTGAGGTTTTTTTCGTTACGAAATTTCTGGATTTTCCCGCACTCAAGGCCCGCGATAGAAGCTATGCAATAGCTTAATAATAATAATAAAAAAGGCGTAGGGAAGTGACGACCCCATCGCCCGCTGACGAAACAGTTAAGCGACAAAACTGCTGCGTCGGTGCAGTCAGTCAGCGCCTTGCCAAGAGGTGTGAGCGCCGTGCCTCGGCAGTACTAAGGGTGCAAAGGCCCGTTTGTGCTTACGGCCGTACAATGATACAATGAAACGGTGCCGGGCCTGGGCGTCTCCCGTTAATTGGCGCCCAAAAATGGATGATGGATATGATTGGAAAACGTATAGGGCCTCTGCCTGGGGGTCGCCGGGGCGCGTCTGGAGCTGGCGCTGGACGCGGCAGCGTGCGGGCCGCCAGCCGAGCGCGAGTAGCTGCAAGATCACCTAACAGCCCCACGCATCCATTATCCCCACCAGACAGCTTGATGTCGGCAGGGTCCTCTTGGACTCGGCAAGCGGCATCCGCCGCTGGTGGAGTGCGCCCCATGCGTTGGACAAGGGATATGAACGCAAACGCATTGCGGGCGTACTATAGGGCGAAAGGGGAAGAAACTGCGAGGATAGCGTATCGGGCTTGGATGCATTGCTTTTTTGCTGAGCTGGAGCCGTCTATTCCCGTCACGGAACAAAACCTGGCAGACCAAGTTCGGTACATCATGCGCTCGAAAATATTCGATGATGCCGAGCTCGAACGACTACGACGTGAGGCCATTCCCTCATCGAATAAATTGGCTACGGCTGGGGATGAGGCTCCTCAGGCGACAGACTACACTACACGCGTAGAAGCCGCCATGGATCTTCCAGTTGTGGTTGATTCAGACGATGATGAAATGGTCTCCCACGAACTAGAGCAAATGAGGAATATACTGGAAGAGGCGATTTTCGAAACGCGCACCATGCCTCTCGAAAATCAACCGCGACTTCCCCCGCATACCCCTAAGCAAGCGAAATCGGGCTGTCGTGAGGGCTCTTAACCCAATGCTGGTAACCTATTTGTAAGCCAGCCGGGACCTTTGCGAGAAGGAATCAGTTTTTTTGGCGCCGCAGTGGCAGCTTGCCGTATTATTGGTGCCAAACTTCCCACAGTTGGATGTGCTACTACACAAAGTAGCGCCATCCCAGCCTGGAAAAAAAGAATTGAGGACCGTATCGCAAAGGCAAGGGCCCTTATCGGCAGACTGATAAGCTTCAGGTCGGGTAAAAATAGACCGAGGGTTTTGCGCACCGTTAGAATGGTGTTTGCTGGGACAAATATCAGTTTGTCCCAGCCGGATATCACTCAGAAACTAACGGATCGCATAGACGACCTGAAGCATTGCTGCTCGGGGGAAGCGGATTCGCCGATTTACCGAGAGGTCAAGGTGGTTCAACCAGAATCGTCTCTTCCAGAGTGATCAGAAGAGGCTCTACAAATCATTGGAGTGGCCAGAGGTATGTGGAGCGGGCCCAGGACCGGACCAGGCTAACACTGTCGCATTTTGGCGTGTCCTGTGGTCAGAGCCCGTAAACCACAGCTAAGGGCCTTGGACGGAGGTTGTAGCGATTCAGTGTGTGAGTATTACGCCCATGGACCCCGTCATCATAACGCCGGATTACGTAGCTGGGGCTGTCCGTAGAGCCCCGAACTGGAAAAGTCCGGGACTCGACGGACTGCATCACTACTGGCTGAAGGGGTTCATGGTGTGTCACGCTGTGCTCGCTCGTCAGTTTCAAGAGGCTCTCAACCAGAAGTCGCTCCCTAGCCTCTTCACTACTGGGATCACTCATTTGGTTCCTAAAGACCAGGTTACCACAGACCCGAGCAAATACCGCCCCATTACGTGTCTACCCACCATATATAAGACACTGACATCCATGTTGAGCGCGAGAATCACTCGTCACCTGGAGCTAAATCAGATGATGTCACGCGCTCAAAATGGATGTCGGGGCGGTGGTCGTGGAACTAAGGAACCACTCCTCATTGACGCGGTCATTGGCAAAGTGGTGAAACGCAACCGTCGGAACTTCTCCGCCGCCTGGATAGACTACAGAAAGGCATTCGACTTGGTGCCACATACATGGCTAAAGAGAGTCCTCGAGCTGTACAAGATAGACTGTACCGTGAGAGACTTCCTCGAGCAGTGTATGGGGCAGTGGATTACGATCCTTTGTCATCTGGGTGAGAGGATGATGGCTGCGGAGAACCACATAAGGATAAGAAGGGGTATCTTCCAGGGCGATTGTCTGAGTCCAATCTGGTTCTGCCTCTCCCTGAACCCTCTCTACCTTACTGTAGGGATCCGGGAGAGGATTTCAGCTACGGAAAGGAGGGACAAAAGTGACCCACCTTTTCTATATGGATGACCTTAAGTTATTCGCCTCCAGTCGCTCCCATCTTATGGAATTGCTAAAAATCACTTGTGAGTTTAGCAGTTCCATTGGAATGGAGCTGGGGCGGATAAGTGTGCGGTCCTCCATGTTGAGAGGGGAAGGGTTGCTAACTCTGAGGGCATAGATTTATCTATGCCCGTCAACTTAAGGACCCTTTCCGAGGTTGAAACATACCGATATCTGGGTATGTCTCAGAACATCGGTATCGATGAGGCTGGTATGAAACAGTCAGTTTGTGACGTGCTTTATGCACGCTTGACCAAAGTGCTTAATAGCCTTTTGTCCGGTGTGAATAAGACACACGCATATAACGGTTGGGTCATACCTGTCCTTATGTATACCTTTGGCATATTTAGGTGGACTCAGACTGAACTTAACGCCCTGGATAGAAAAGTCCGCACTACCATGACGTCCCATAGGATGCATCATCCGAGATCGTCGGTAATGAGGCTGTACTTGCCGCGAAAGCATGGTGGGCGTGGCTTTCTGAGCGAGCTCACTATGCATAATTGTGAAGTGTGCAGCCTCCGTCATTACTTCCTGGCGAGATCGGATGATCCATTCTATAATGACGTCATTTCTAGTGAGAAAGGGCTTACCCCTCTATCCTTGGCCAACGAGCAATGGCAGGACCCAGCAGTGCTTAGCATTTCCGACCGGGAGACCGTATGGAAGGAGAAGGAGCTCCACGGGAGGTACTACAGGGCTCTACATGAGCCCTTCGTAGATACAGTCGCCTCCCTCAACTGACTACGTTTCGGTGACCTCTTCGGGGAAACCGAGGGTTTTGTCTGTGCAATACAGGATCAGGTTATTAAGACCAACAACTATCGGAGATGCATCCTAAAGGATGGCACCGTCGACGTCTGTCGAGCTTGTCGCCATCCCGGGGAGTCACTTAGGTATGTCATCTCCGGTTGTTCGGCGCTTTCTAACTCTGAGTACTTGCACAGGCACAACCTAGTAGCCAGAATTCTACACCAGGAGCTCGCTCTGAAATGCGGTCTCGTGGACCGGAAATTGCCGTATTACAAGTACTTGCCGGAAGCCGTGCTCGAAAATGACCACGCCAGGCTCTACTGGGACCGGGCCATCATCACAGACAGGACTATTCTCGCGAATAAGCCCGATATTGTGCTGATGGACCGGGCACAGTCAAGGATATTTTTGGTCGACATTACCATTCCGTATGACGAGAACCTCGTGAAAGCCGAAACAGATAAGCGAACAAAATATCTGAACCTGGCTCACGAGGTGACCGACATGTGGAGTGGTTGGCCGACCGAAATTATCCCTGTAGTCGTCTCTGCGAATGGGCTAATCCCAGTCAGCCTCTCGGGTCATCTGAGGCGACTGGGACTCCGTGACGGACCGCTTCGGGCTCAAATGCAGAAGGCAGTGGTCCTCGATACCGCCCGCATCGTCCGTCGGTTTCTTTCCCTTTCCTCCTAACCCTCGGCCGTTTGGTCTACCCTGCCGAGGGCTTCCATCTGGTTGGATCTTTATTTATTTGTGTATTTTTTGTATTTATTTTATTTTATTGATATTTATGTATATTTATCTTTTCATTTTAATTTATAATTATATATTTATAGAAATCAACCAGATGAGAAAACTATACAGATACCCAGATAATAATAATACATATCACAGACTTACTAAGCCTCAGACAAGAATCTTAGAACAACCCATAGATTACTGCAACCAATACGGAACCAGTAGTTTAGAGTTTGACATTTGTTTACTTCTAATTATGAGGTATCAGGCAAAAGTACATCATTGATAAAGCATATTTACGTTACTTTTAAATTTTGTAGTTATAAGGCAAATATACACCATTGATAAAGCCTAATTTCATTCACATACCTAATAGCTATTCACCATTAAAAGTTGACAATTTTAAAATCTTTACTTACAAAAACTTATATATTAGTTATTAAAGTTTTTATTTTTTTCTTTTGAAATTATTTATACTTTATCTAGCATTTGCGGCAATTGGTTACGTTATTTTAATCTCACAATATCAAATTCTTTTAAGATTTTAATAACTACGTTACACCAGTTCCATATATATTATTTTATCGTTATTGAGACAAAATATTCTAGAAGAGCTTGTTTATGACTCGGCATGTTAAGAAATCAAACGAATATTTGGATTTAATTTCCATTCCATTCCATTTTTTTAAATTTCATAAGAATTTAGTTTCTCTTCCAAATATTAGTTTGTTTCCTTTACAACGGTTGAAATATACCTCAGTGCATATTCTGAGAGATAGGTTGATTTTTGTTTTCATTTTAAGTATCTATACTCTCTGTGAGAAATCCATTGGTGGAATGACGACTGACTTTTTTTAGAGGACACAATACTCCTTGTCCTCTTTATTAAAAAAATCTCATTACCTCTAATTTTTTTATGGAATTAGTCCAAAGGGTTTCGTGCTTTGATGAATTCGTTACAGCTTGCTTTAAAGGCTTCACTTTGTTTCTCCGTCCAAGAGCTGTTTCCTTACATGAATCAAATTAGTCCTCGAAAAATGACAAAGCTTCTGAAGTATTTTTTGACGTCGAGTTTACAGGTTTTTTTATCAGCTTAGTAATCTGTAACATAAAAATAAATATAATGTTAGCCATAGAAACCCTAAATTAATGTTATTTGTTTCTCTTTTATTCTTATTTTTTTTTGACTTTTTTATAAGCCAGTGCTTGACCACAATATCACCTGGTGGTAAGTGGTGATGCAGTCTTAGATGGTAAATCGCACTGTCTTAGCGTAACAAAACCATATTCACTCTTTCCTTGAAGACGCACAGATTTTATTCGAATGGAAAGACAGACGCCGGCAAATTATTCCACTCCTTTGCTGTACGCATTAAAAAATTCGAAGTAAACCGTTCGGTTCTAATGCGTGGAATATCAACAACAAAGGGGTAAAGACCCGCTGACCCGCTGGTCGTCCGATGGTGAAAAGGAGAGGGAGGAATTAAAGCGTGCAATTCCTGCGCACACTCTGCGAAATGCATCCTATAGATAACTGAGAGGCTGGCTACTCTGCGCCTGTGCTTGAGGCTGACGAAGTTGGTTAATTCAAGAAATTTTATATTCTTTATAATATATCTTAATATATATAAATGATGTGTCACATTGTTTGTCCTCCTTCTTTTAGCTCCCTTCGACATTGGATAAGCAAGAATACTGTTCAAGGTGTCAAAGTGAAAATTCCTATCACTACCAAAACATTCTAATTGCTTCATTCAAGACACATTCCATCAAAATATGTTGGAAATTTTCAACTATTCCGCATATGTCACGATTTTATGTTGGCACTTTTTTCATTAAAAAAGAAAACTTGTTCGATGGAATATGTAATCTAAGAATAGGTCTTATGTATTTTCTTTTTAGTGGACAATTATCTGTCACAAATTACAGGTTATTTGTGGCTGAATTATTCAATACCAGATACTCTTCGACAGACTGGCAGTTATATGGGGTGTTTACAATTCGGTCGCCTGAATTTGGGGGTGGGGGTGGTATAGGGGGGAGGGGAAGAAGTTGTAGAGTCACCCCCAACTTTCAATTCCTGCGGACGTTTAGTTAGTTAGTTAGT